AGGTTGAACTTTTCTGCCATTTTAACCCAGGGGCAGCAGGAGGGTTAAAGCCACCTTCCAGCAAAATCCAAACAAGCTGTGGTACAAGTGGTGCTTCAAATTTGAAAATATACAAGCTTTTACAAGACAACTTCAAAAATAGACCTTTTTTTTCCACAGCAGCCATCTGAACTTGGTACAATAGATTAAAGTCCATCTTTTTTTAATGATGGCTGCATTCAGCTCAGAGGATGTCCTGGTTTTTATTTATTCATGCAAACGTGTTTTTCTATCCTTGAAAAAAAGAAAAAAAAACACACAAAAAAACTGTGACCATGTGTCATCACAACAACATATTAGAATGTTGTAAAGTTACATGGGAGACATGCAACATATGTGTTTAACATGTTAATACTTAATATTGGATAATAAAATATGGTTTCACATGATGAAAATTAGATTTTCCACATTGGGAAGTGAGCAAAACAAAGTGATTGCTTTTTACATGTGACGTTCACGAGATGTTACTATAAAGCAGGGCTATTCAACTGGCGGCCCGCGGGCCACATCCGGCCTGCGAGTGACCAAAATGTGGCCCGCCAATTGGTTCATTCATCTCTTAAGTCCAAACCACCAGTTTTCTACTTTACTTACTATGAGTTATTTTAGTTAAACATAAACGTGTTTGGTATCTACAGAAACGTCAGAATCTTGGCTAGAAGCTGGTAAAAACTATTTCTAAGCACACTCAAGAAAACTATAAGCAGTTGAAGACAAAATTATGAAAGTGAAAATAAAATTGGTTTAAAATTTTGTCAAGTCAGAGATGTTAAAATATTATTTGAAATTGTTTTTTTAATCACTAAATTTATTACATAGGGTTCTGTATGTTGTATCAATGATTAAATGCAACAAAATAAACAATTTCAAAGGTAACAGATCTTTGGTTTATTTACCAAATAACTTTAATTGCTGGATGTTTGGCCCCTCAGCTGTTCGCCTGCATTAACCGTGGCCCCCGGAGCAATTTAGTTGAATAGTCCTGCTATAAAGCATGCTTGTTGGGAAAAAAAATTAAATTCAACTAAGTCACACAAACAAAAAAAGTCGTATTCCTTTTCAAAACAACCCTCACAATGACAAGGTTGTGTCAAAAACAACTTAATTGGTTTATTTGTTTCTTTGTTTCTGTTCCCAAAATGTGAACACACAGTCATAATTTATGTGTGTAAACGGGTGCGTTTCCTAACATGAGTAATTCCTTGGAACATTCACACATACACATACACACACACACACACACAAGCATCAATTTCATCCACATGTAGTTCACCTTTGTAAAACACGAAGGGGGACGGAGGGGTCGGTCGACTTCATCGATTGGCCATCCGGAGCAGTGACAGCTTCCAGATTGGCCAGAGAACATTAGGGAGTCAGAAAGTCACAGTACCATTAGCAGTCTGTCCTCTCTGGTTACATACAGCCGGCCAGCAGACGAACACTCCACGGACTCAAATAAATGACATGACTGGTGTGTGTCTGCCACAGAAAGATGTCAGAGAAATGTGATCGTTCTGTTTCTGTAATTATGCTTTAGAAATATTCAGAAGGAGTTTAAACCAAAACCAGTAGCTCCTGATTTTGTTTCAGTTTTTGCATTAAAGATATTGTAAAAGGTCAAAGAAAAGGTTCTTTTCATATGTGCACGCTCACTAAAGACTGAAAAGACTGCCTGCCTGTGTCTGTCAGTGAATTACAAAGATTAGAGATGATGTAATTCAAAAAAAAAAAAAAAACTTTTAGAATGGAGAAAGTTTCAAAGCCCCCCTGCCTCGTACCCTCTGTTTTCAAGCCCTCCTTACATCTTTTCTGATTGACATCTTTACTCCTGTGGTTCAGCCTCTCAAAAAGGACATACTGCAGTCAGGACGTGCCAGTGGGAGGTGGATCATAAAGCACAGTGTGCTAAAGAAACTTTAGTTAGACTAATAAATCTGCTGTTTGGAATATGTAGACTTTTTTTCAGCTCAGCGGCATGATGTGCTTAATATAAGCTTTGTCTCTTTAATGCCTCTATTAGTTTTTTTTCTGTAAATGGTCAATTAGTTCAGTTCAGTTTACACAGATGATGCCACAGAGCTTACTCAAATATAGACCTTTAATCACACAAACACAAAAAACACACAATACACAAGATGGGTTCTTATCGGCAGGTGAGGGAACCACATCAGAAAAAGCTAATGTCTATCATTTCATGCATTCTAAATTAGATTTTAGAACAAAAGGTACTGTCTTCCTCATTTGCCCCAAAGATCAGGTGATATTTTTAAACAAGTTTCGTCTAACATACTGAGGCACTGAAACTTTAAGACTCAAGTGTAAAGCAATATATATTATCTTATGAAACAATGATTTTGAGCTTTTAAAACACTGGTACCATGTTATCATTGCAGCGGTTTCAGTTGTCAAAAATTATAGCCATTGATCCAACAACACTGTGCAACAGAATAACAGCAGTGAGGAGAAACTCTTCTAATGTAAAGTCAGAAGAAAGACAGAATGGTGGAATAAATGTGCAAATCAAGACAGGATTTTACGCTGCTGAGAAATTACTAAAGGGAATATCAAACTGATTTCAATGTGACAAAATTGATTTTCCAATCTTCTTCAGATTGCTTTCTGCTTCCTGGGGCAGCTGAGGTGTCTATCCAAATACACTTAGAGCACTCCGCCTGAATTATGTTGCAGGGATTTGAAGAACAGGGAAAATTTGTATCTATCACTTGTTTTTTATCCCCCTTTGCCTTTCACTTTTCTACTTTTTCTGTCTTTGTTGTATCTTTAGAATGTTGCAGAAAATGCTGGACATGCAGACTTTAGTAACTATTATAGGTGGGAGATGGAAAGATGGGTGCCATCTTCGAGTCAAATTTTTAAGATTGTGTTGAAGTGGTTGGGTTTAAATCTTCCAAAAACCTGAAGGAGAGYCTAAAATTGACACTTTTTTTTTACTTCCATCTGGTTTTTATATGCTCTTTTTAAAATTACAGAACTGATGCACTCAAGCTTGTCTTGCGCTAAAAACCCTAGGGATGTTTGTGAAATAGTGGCTCAGTTACACATTCTGTGAATGTGGGGGTATGAAGAAATAGATCCCAAAAAATGAATCAAATTACATGTGGTGCTTTAGGCTTTTTAGGTTGCCAAATCTTTAAATATTTTGACCAAGCAGAGGTCTTATGTTACATGAACAAATAATTCACAGTCCAGTGCTAGAGGGAGAAAAAAGCCAATGCTTTCGTTTTCTTAAATTTTGAAAGTATTTGAACTGAAGTCAAAAACATTTCAAAAATACATAAAGTACACTTTGAAAGCTCAGTCAAATGCTTCACGTCATTCTTCAAATTCTTCTAAAAAACAAACAAAAAATACAACCAATCTTTAAACCRCTGAGATGTCTTCAGACTGTGCTGGGCGGACTGACCCAACTTTTATATCACTATATTTTCAACAATTATACTGGTATCATGGTATTTGATTGTATTTTTCTTTTAGCAAACCTTAAGTTACTTTCTTTCTGCAATACAGAAACTATTGCATTTTTTCTTTTACTGTACCTCTGTCTAGTTGCAGTTTCCCTCCTCTACATGTCTGACAGTGGTCACATATCTTGGTACAGTCATGAACAATGAGGACTGAGCAGATCATTATCGGCTATATGGTTTTATGTTTTTTAATAAAGCTGAACAGAACGACTGAACCTCCATGCACACATCAACTCAACCAGTAGCTACAAAATCACTTCCTCCCTGGCTTTTCACAATAAAGCACGTTAGCGTCTCCATACAGTTACGTTGCACATGAAATCTATCTTTTTTAATGTCAGTCAATATAAGAAGCACAATCGCCACCAGTTACTGAGAAGCTGCTCCAACAATTAGCTTGCTAATGAACAGAGCGATGCTGCAGGGAAAAGTGTCCCCCGTGAAACAGCTCAATGGCAGCTGTGACGTAATGTTTCAAACGTATTCATGCTAATTAAAACATTGAGAAATTTCATTCAGAGCATTCTGAAATTTCATATCATAAAAAAATAATCAAAAAAACGTTTGCGGTACGAACCGATACACTGTCCAGCACTGCTTCAGACAAATCCAGTGTTGTTGCTTTGTGGCGGCCAAGAGCAGGCTGGGATTTTAGTTTAATTTAGCTTCTAAGTGATCGCCACTGATCTTGTTCACCAACAATGTACCAACAATGATATATATCTATATGTTTCATCCTTTTAACACAAAATGAAAAACAATCTCTACCCTTTCTCTTCAAAATGTGCTGGTCTTTCATCACCAMACAAAAGCAGCAAACTGGGCTCCCTTCTTTTACTACATCTCATTTCATTGTACTGTTAATCAATTACACCTCTATTTAACAGTTTACTGTAGCACTGAGATTGGCTCATCAGAGCATTTAGCCGCCATGGTTCCAGCAGTTCCGGATGGCAGGTTTTCAACCAAGCTTGTTGGACAGCACCAGAGCCGACGGATGAGTGTGTATCACCTCAATTAAACYGCTCGCTAAGTGTCTGACAACAGCTAATATTCCTCTTCCACCAGCGAACCCAATCGATGTTCTGGGATTCGTCACCCTGCTAGGAAAGCAATCATCTCGTTGTCTCGCTCTGGTTAGATGGAGAAATGGAAAGATGCTCATCTGGCTTCATATGCCTGCTCACCGGAATATATTACTGCTCCAAGATACACATGACCACTTATAAGTGGTACTTAATGCTCCACACCCATACTGTATGCATACAATTTCCTCTGCTCACTGACTGCACTGCTGATAAACTGGGAAGTAGATACAGACGTTTCCTTTTTTAAAATTCCAGGGATTGAAGTAAATAAACTTAGCGACAACACTGACTGCAGCCAAAACGCACGCGATGTTCCACAAGGAGAAAGGGTTACGGATAAGTTCAACGTGACACAATGAGTACTCCAGAGGCACAGCGGTGAACCCACCTCTCTGTCGAGTAGCGCAGGAGAAATTACGGTCACAATGTCGCCTCTTTCTGCATCGATGTAGAACATGTTGGGTGACGGTTTGTCTGGAGACTGTCTGATGATGTTGTAACGCAGCGCAGCGTTATCTGTGCCTTGGTCGTCTGCGTCGAACGCCGTCATCGTCATCACTGTGGTTCCTGGGGAAGAAGGTAAAGGACAAGCTTGAATCTGGATCAAATTTTTCAAAAGTTTAAGATTAATTCGGCAGGATTGCTGCTGTGTTGATGACAAATAATAGTAGAAGCGGTTCAATGCCTTATTGTTTGTGTTTTTTTTTTCAAGCTTAAGTGAAAAGAACAGTGAAATGGATCTTTATAAACAAGTTACACAAATGCTAAAGCAAGTGTCCAACTCAAGGCTCTCTTTAACATTTGATCCAGCCCCAAATTTTCAATATAAAATAAGTTTTGTTGTTCCTATTTAGTGCAGTTATTTTTCCTCAACTGTAGTTGACTTTAGCTCTGTATTCTGGACTTTTAGGGAAGGTTTTTTCTTTTTTTCAACTCATGCTGGATTGTGAGAAAATGTACCTCTAAGAAATAATAAACAGAATTGTATAAAAAATAAAGGCTAGTGTTGTGTATTTTTAAATTGATAGTTTTTCTTTATTTGTCAGGGTATTTATGTATTTCTATAATAATAATTTGCTATTTTTTTATAAATACTGAAAGAGATTGGTCTTTGGCTCAGACCAAGTTTTGAATTTTGTGTTACTGAGTTTGACACTCATGCTAAACTAAGAACAATCTAGGAGAGAAAAAAAAACAAATATATTCAAACAAAAAAGCAGCTCCGGTGAAGAACCTGTTTGCCTGATGTTGATACAAATTAAACAAGACATGCGTGTTGAATTAATGCAACAAACGTATGAAATTTTAAATTTAAACGGCTATTTTTTTGGAATAAGTTCACCCATTATATCAATGTGCTCTTCCTGTCATGTCAGCTTTAACAGCGGGGTTAAATCCATTTGGTAATGGGAAAAAAATGGAAAAACCTGCCCACTATACAGTATATGGACTGAAGAAGGAGGCTATTCTTAACCCTCAATGTCTGTCTCCTGCCAGTGATGAGATACTGTTGCACCAGTTCAGTGTGACACATTCAGTCCTCACATCCAGAAATGTACACAACATRATCTCAATATACAGACTTCTCTCATTTAAATACTGTATATATAACTTTATTTTTATTCTTTTATTTCTACAATGTGGGCAGAAGTGTCTATTAAATATTTCCGTTCACTGGTCCATGTCCTTGTAAATACATTGCCAGTTGTAGAAAAGCCTTTTATTGCATTTTTATGAGTCAGTGTATATGACAGTTGTGCGTGTGTGAGAGAATTAAGGGAATGTTTTGCATAAAGAGGATGTACTGTCATTTTTATAATGACAGATATGATTATTAGGCTTGTGTTGCAACACTGRCACAAAACATGAGTGACGTTTTACTTTTCAGTTTTTATCAATGTAACAGAAATGCATTTTGCGTAGAATATGWTACATGAAAACTTTTCTTCCCCCATTTCCTTTTTAATATTAATAAGAAAACTGAAGTTTTACATCTTTTCTGGCAAAAAATCTGTTTCAAAATATTTTTGATCCAAAACGTTTTTCTAAAAAGCTAAAGGAAATGTAGATCAACTCATAAACATGTCTTTATAACATCTTGATACTTCATAACAGCTTGCAACAGTGCATTAGACAAACTGTTCATATTAAGCACAAAAGTGCTAATGGAAAATGTACAAAGTTTTCATTAAATAACAGCGGTGTATAGCAACTGCCTTCAGTCCAATTGAAAGCAATGAGAGGCTCAGGGGTGTGAGTTTTGTCCCCTTGGCATTTGCACTTCAAGGTGAATCATAAAKGGTGAAGTAAACTGGTAATTCTTCCTCCGCAGAATAATTACACAGCGCTGTCTCCTTCATTACCTGTACTCAGTTCCACTTCACACCTTGAAAGCAACAATRTTAGGAGACCACTGAGTGAGCACTCACACATTTGCACACTGTTGCAAGTGTAAGTGTGGACAGCTTAACACACCAAGCAGCAGCCAATTAGAGTTAAAAACGGTGACTAAATTGGTTATCTTGAACGATCTCAATGAATTATTCACTCGTTGGGTTGCAAAAACCAAGATCTTTCCAATGCAACACAATCTCTCCCCAAGTTTTACTTGATGTCAGAGACAAGCTAACCTAGTCCTCCTCAAATACTGTAATCCCTGGTGTAACCTACAAACAGAGAAAAACTCACAGCTTTAACAGAAAAAAATCTTAATGGAAAAAAAAGAGACAAAAACTCACCTTTTTTAAACCAAAGATATATTTTTATATTTATGTGATATGTTAAAAAATTGTAATTTGTAAGCTAATGTCAGTGGCTCGTAAAACCCCTCACAAACTGCCAGGCTCATTGGTGGGCCCGATGGATAGCCCTTCATCAGAGCTGAACAGCAACAGAACAATCTGAAGCTCATATGTTGAATAGTTTTTTTGAGTTATAAGCATTTTTTGTGTGATCAGACACCACCTCCTTTTCAGATGAAGCCCCCTCCGCAAATACGGGGTTTATCATAAAACCATTGGCTGGCACAGTGTAGGTCAGACACATCTACATTCACACCACATCTCATGCTAATCAGTGCAGCCGTTTCTGTGTTACAGWTGACCAAACAACTCTGGGAAMAAAAAAAGAAAAATAAACTGTACAATAACAATATGACCCACGTTTTGCGTGCAGGGGGTCATAATTAGCACTGTGTTACCATGACACACATCGAGACAGGACACAACCATAGACAAAAAATATCTGATGATAAATATATTCATATAATAGGATTGTGTGCAATATTATAGTATTTTTGTGTATAATCACACTGTACCAACACATAGGGGCCTCATTCGTGACGCATTTCAATCTCTTATCAGTCTCATCTTCTGGAAGTAGCCAAGACCAAATCGATTTTAACCCTATTGGATGGGATRGATGTGCATGCTTTGGACTGCCATTACCTCACTATCACTTGGACCCATCTGCTGTGTTATCACATGACACCAGCTCAGTCCAGATGGGAAAAAAAACAACTAATGTAATAAAGAGGRAGCTGGAAGAGAGCAAGTCTGTGAACGCTGCATGTCTGTCAAGTGAGTTTACAATGAATTGTTCAGGTAAAGTAAAAGGAAAGGACTGTGAAGGTAAAACACAACCAATTCACACGAGAAAATTCAGAGAATGACACACAAAAAAAACGAAGGCACAGATACACATGTTGTGGATTGATTTCATCACACAGGCTGTTGGGACATGGTGCTGTTGCCTACAGCTAACTCCTATATCTTTCTCAAACACCAAGGGAAATCAGCGGGGGCTGGCAGATCTGTGGGTGCCACCAGGGAACTGACACAGTGTAAAAAGGAAAGATGAAGTGAGACAACATAGACAAGATAGAAAAAAAAAGAAAAAAAAAAACGGAGGGTAAATGTGATGCTAGTCTTTGGATGTGCTGTCTGTTGTGAGTGTGCGCGTGCTGTTGAAGTGTTACACTGCAACGAGATGAGTGCCAGTGATTGAAATTTCAATTTAAATTATGCAGAATGTAAAACCAGGAATGGGATTTGTATTAATCAGAATCAAGGGAGGGAAAAGACCAAAGGCTAAGCCATTTTCTTCTAAGGTGTGAATGAGATCAAAGGGAGTTCAAAGATGAATCGTCTTCTCCACTATCAACCATGTGGAGCGATGAACCGTTAGCATATTCAGAGGCAAAATGCAATGAAGAGGTGGTGGGAGACGTAAGTCAAGATGAAACACACACAGAAAATAATTAACTAGAGGCAGAAAAGAATAGTAAGAACAAATATTCCACCAAAAAATGAAGACTTTTTGATGTATAAAACCTTTTATTTTTGTAGTTTCAACTGTAAATTTAGGCAACAACACTTAAAAGGTGTAAGGTTTATACTGTACCTACAGAAGTGACTGAAAATAGGCTATAAATGCTAACTATTTATGACAACATTATGAAAACAGAAGTCTGATAATATGGATAAATTTGCATTTATGCTCAGATTTGTTGAGTAAAGTATGTTAGTGTTAATTTGTAATTCAACATGAAGGTATGTTAAAGAAAAATAGTACAAAGGGGTGAATTTTAACATGTGTAACGTTCACTCACTCCTTTTCCAACAAGTAGCTAAAATGACTGAAAATTCTTGTGTTGCAAAATATTGTTTAAATTATTGCTTGTGTTTATGTTTATTTATGTACCTACGTTTAGCTTCACTTGTGTTGTTTTAGTTTAATTTAATTTAATTGGTTAAAMATAAAGCATAGCGCATAAAAGAAACAAGTTAAAGAAAGACTGAAACAGTAAATGTACAGGTTTAATACATTTGCAGAAGTTATCTAGTGTACGTTTTTCAATCTACCATTGCAAATGGTAGTATTAGTATTTTTTAAGCAATATAAGTTAGCATACAGCAAAAACAGTAATGTTGATAAAAAAAATCCCAAGAAGCAACATTTGCTTCTGAATATCATTGTCCAAATAAGTATTTTTCAGTGTTTAAACTCTACTCTTCAGTTCTGATTATGCGGTATGAAAACAATCACAGAATGAAACACGCACTGTGCACACTGTGTAGCACCTATCAGCAGATCTATTTGTTTTGAAATTTTCTCTGCCTACCTACGTTGCTTGCCTGCCTGTTGTTGCCATTACAAAACAACTCGGTGTTATGATGCTGGCTTGTCTGCTTGCTTTTGTGCCTTTTGTTAAACTCGTCCTTTAAAAGAGATAATTGCAAATATATTTTCTTCAAATCCAATGAATTCATGGTTAAAGATGTGGAGGTATAAGTGGTTCTAAGTGTTCTAAGTGTTCTGTGGAGCAAATAGACCAGATAAAACACTTTTGTCAGACTTTAATAAATAAATAGCTGGAGTGAAAAATAACGGTTTGGGGTCTGGTGGTGGTATTCAACATGAAAATAGAGTATTTGTGAGTTAGAAAAATACAGATCAAACAAACCAGAGAAATACAACCGCAGGAGACACATTTCAGGACTACTGGAACAACACTTCTTGTTTACTGGTTCATTTATTCCAACATATTTCACCTGTTGTTGACTGGC